AAAATTCAAAATTTCTTACCAACTGAAAATATTAGATGTATCCCGCGCGCTCATATGACCTAATGCAGTTGCGAGCGTCGTAAAACACTAACAAAAAACAAAAAAGCATTCGAATGCATGGGCGTCAATTTTGAACCGGAGAACCTCGCATTTCCACGGCAATTCTTTAGCTCCAAATAATAGGATACATACAAACAACTCACACTATTGTAAAGAAGAAAGTCTGAACTTTTTCAAAGTGTTCGGCATTTGGTGTTTTGTAGCAAAAGAGCAAAGAAACACAGATCTGAATTACCCCCCTTTTATCGCTCACTCGGAAGGCTTACGTTCCGCGTTTACGCTACTTAATTATACATTTGCAATAGCACTAGCACCATAAACACATGAGAGCACACACACACACACACACACACACACACACACACACACACACACACACACACAAACACAAACACGCATACAAACAAACCAACACATATACACACACAGGCACAACACAATAAAAACGAATTTTTAAAGTCAATCCAAGTGTAAAACTGAAAGATCAACTGAGGAAAACAGCTAGCAAGGCACGCCCACACAGTCAGCTGTTTACGTAAAGAAGCTTGAAGTGAGCTGGAAGTTACCGTTTTTACTCTGCTTGTTTACATTTCTGACCATTCATGCTCGAAAAGGGGTCAAAATCTAAAAAATAGTTGCCAATGAAGAACGTTGAAGCAAAGATACTCCACTAGTGGAGAATCTTTAGTTGAAGCAAAGGTGGCCATGAGGTAATGGTTCTAAAAATAATCTCACAACTACACACTAGCAAAGTCCAAATTCCTTTATCTCGTCATCCAAGCTCACAACAAACCACACACACCTCCAAAATAAATCAAAATAAAATATTTATAGTTGATTATAGTTGCCATTTTGATCTTAACTGAAGCAGAAGACATCAAACTTTCAACAGATTTAAAAAACAAAAATTTCATGGAAAGTCACTTTTTGTCTTTCGAGCCTCGTGGATGATAATAGCAACACTGCGTCTACGACTGATATTGAGCGGGGAAGACAGATATATTAAAGAGAATACTCAGAATCTCATTGACAGAGAGGGAAACAAAAGTGCTCCAAATGGCAGGATGTGAAAGATCCATAAAATTAGAACCATCAGAAAAAGACAATTGAGATTCTTGGCCACATAAATAGATCAAATGGACTAGAGAAATTGCTGCTGTGTGGAAAGATAGAGGGGAAAAAGAGCAGAGGAAGACAAAGGTATTTTTTTACTTTCCCTCCCGTCTCACACTCAGCTACCAGTTGTCTATTTTCTACTAAATATTGATGCGCTGAACACGAATATCAACTTCAATTCCGTCGCAAAT